CCCCGCAGATGAACTTGGTGGTCTCGGCTGTAGTGGCACCGGAGGAGGGGCTTCGGGCTCGAGCTGGGGAGCACACCTTGTTTGGGGTGTCAGTCAGGCCTCTCCTGCCCGCTTTGCTGTCCTCAGCCTGACCACCTGGGAACGCAGTGGAGGGGGCAGCAAAGGGAATTGGTGGCAGTGCCCCAGAAGAAGGATTTCTGGGGGGGAACGACTGGCCAGCCCACCTGAAGAGGCTGAGGGGGTCTTTTCTTTTGGCTGGCAAGGTGGGCTGCAGACTGAAGCTGGTGAGATGTCAGCCAGGTCCTGGGCCTCGGCTGGTCCGAGGGTCTTGGCTCACTGAGGGTAAGGAATGGCTGTCGTACAGCAGAGACAGTCCTCTTCCCTTCCTGGAACCATGGAATAGAGCAACAAGTGACTGAAAATCAGAGTTGATCCTTAGTGAGAGGAAGTCCACACCCGGAGAGGCCAGGGGGCAGGTGGGAACCAGACCCCCAGCCTTCCCCCAGGACGAGTTCAAGTAGGCACTGCGCCAGGGGTGGAAGGCGGACCAGGCAGTTGCCGTGCGCAGAGTTCAGGGAGCCCCAGGGAGTTCTGGCTGAGCTGCCTGTCTGTCCCCTCCCCGGGCTGGGGCCCCTGGAGAGCGCTTTGGTTACCGGGGGAAATGTGACCTGTTGAGTCTGGTTTCCCGGCGATGAGGCCACACCCTATACTCTTCCCTCCTCTTTCCCGTCCCAACCTCCCCTCCTTCCTCTCCCCTCCTTCCTCTCCCCCCTCCTCCCCTTTCCTCTGCCCCTTCGCAGTCCCCTCCCCCTTCTCCCTCCCCCTCCCTGCTGCGGCTTCCTCCCTCCTTCTCCCACTCTTCCTTCTCTCCCTCCCACCCTCCTCATTTCTGCCCCAGGCTGACCGTTCCTCCTCGATCCCAGCTCCTCACGCCTCCCGGTGCTTTCCCTAAAGTGCTCCGCACTGGCGCCTCTCGCCGGGACGAGAGAGTCTGGCGTCTGGGTTGGGAGACAGTCCTCGGCGGGCGCTGACCTGATGCTCGCTCCGGAAAGTGTCCGCTGCGCTCCGCGCTCACTTATCCAAACCCCGTGGGTCCGAGTGAAATTCTTTCCCTGTGCTGCCACTGCAGGTTGTTTTTAAGCAGCAGGGCTGGGAGCTGAGGGTCAGATACATTGGAAACACTATTCCTTTTTTTTTTTTTTTTGAAATTTTAAGATCAGCTTATTAAGTTCAGTGCTGAAAGCCATCAGAAGAATATTCTCCTGAAAATTATTTTTTCTTAGAAAAAGAGAAAGGAAACTCAGCACCCTCTTAGCATGGCCACAGATGCGATGGCAGTCAAGCCTCTCTGAAGATGAGCTAGTCCGTTAGTCGGTCGAGTCCCTGTCCCGGTCGGCAGGATTGCAGTCTGGATCACCCTCGTCATCCTCCAGCTCCAGGTCATCCATTTCCTGGAACAAAGACTCATCTACCTCCGCGTTGTTTCCAGCATCTTCCAAGAACTGAATATCAGATGTGGAGACACTGTTCTTAAAAATAGGGGGTCGTCAGCCGCCCCCACTGGGGGGATGCCTTCTCCCCTCGCCCTTTCCCATCCCCTCCCCTCCCTTCCCCAGGCCCTTCAGAGGCTTGAGATCACGGTCTCCCCCTCGCTTGCTGGGCCTTTGGAGGGTGTGCAGTCACCGGACTCTGAGGGTGGGTCCGGGGGTCCGGCAGCTTCTGTGTTTTCAGGGGGTTTCCAGGTGATGTCTGCTGGGTTTGGAGACCCTGCTCTGCCCGCTTTTCTGAGATCACAGGAACACTTGGCTGGATCTTCCTTCTCTGCAGCTCAAGCTTGTCTTCCAGAACTCTTATTGAGGGCCTGCTGTGTGCAAAGCCCGGGCCTGGGTGCATGGCTTGGGCAGACCCGGGAGTCCCGGGAGGGGCCATCCAGCAGGCTGTTGCCCCAGCCCGGGGCTCTGTCTTGGCGCCCTGAGCTGGCAGCCTCAGGATCCCGTTTGCTCAGAGATGCCGCTTGATTCGGGTTTGGGATGACATTAGGGGTGGTGGTCAGGGGTCTGGCCGGGGGTTGGGACAGTCCCTCCCCACTGGTGCCAAGGTCATGCGTTGGAGGGAAGAGCTGCAGTGCTGTCACTGGGTGATGAGCTTGGGGCCCAGGGGCGCCTCCAAACCACTGGGGAGCTGCCCACCCGAACTCTAGGCCCTGAAATGCTGGGGGGTGGGGGACTAGCTGCCACGTGGGGTTAGAACTGCGGAGGAGGGTCATGGGGCAGGGAGAGGTCAAAGGTAAGGGGATGGCAGACTGACTTCCAGAGTTCCCTGTGGCAGGGGGACTGGTGGATGCTGGGTCATTGGCTAGTGTGGGCAGCGTGGGTACCAAGTCTGGGTGACCCCAGGATGATGGGGTGGGTGCGATGGGGGCTTGGTCTCTGGGGCCCCCACTGATGAGCCGTGAGAGCCCTCTGTGCCTTGGTTTGCCAAGACGTCGCAGGCTGTGGTGAGCTCGGGGCCCCGGGGACAGGTGCTGTGGGTCTGTGAGCAGATGGGGCCAGTTCCAACGAGAAGGGGTGGGTGGCTGGGGGCCATATCCCCCCACCCGCTAGGGTGAGTGACCCGTGGGCCGGGCCCCAGCTGTGGTGGGCGCCCAGCAGACAGGTCTTGGTGGCCCTGGATTTGTTACCTGGTGGGCGGAGACTCTTTATAAACACACGTTTGACAGACTTCAGAAGCCAGCAGTGTTAGCGCCAAGCAGACCCTGCATTTCTCTTGTATGGGATGTTTCACGTCTTTCTTCGTACGCTCCACACCCTTGTGTCAGATGCTGGCAGAATTTCCCCAAAACTTGAGCGTATTCTAAAGTGGTTTTTGCTAAGAGTCTCAGTGAGCATAGCCGAGTCAGTGCCATCCCTGCTTTGGGTGGTGGGTGATGGGAGGGGACAGTGCATGGTGGGGGGATGCCCCTCCCCCCATCCTAGGGGGGGGTCGAGCGTTTCCCTCGTGCTGACTTGCCTCACCCCCGAAGGGCCAGCCCTCAAAGGCTGACCGTGAGTCCCTGAGCTGTCTCCAGTGATCCAGCTTCTACTTCCCTATTTTGGATGAAAAGGTAAAAGGCAGTGACATTCTGGGACTGGCTTTTCCAAAAAACCGAACCTGGAATTCTGTTGTGGCCGCACCAAAGGCGGTCGGATGGTCCCTCCAGGGTTTCAAGAAGCTGTGGCCTTGGATGAATACGTTACCGCCTTCTGCCCCCACGCCCCCAGTCCCCGTCTTCTGCAGGTATATGACGTGGCCCTGTTGGCGCCATGGAGGTTGGGGGACGGTGTGATGAGGCTGGTGGGCTTGAGTTGAACAGGCTGTGTCCAGTCGCCCCACCCTTCATGGGTGACCGTTCTGGCAGCCTCACTGCTGGTGTCCGAGCAGGTCTGCCCGGCCTCCACGGGGGGTGGACGGTGCTTTCTGCCGTGCCCACCCTGGTCCTTCCGCCCCACTGAGGCACATCCACGCACCCCGGTAGATCTTTCTGCACAAGGGCACTCGTGGTGGTAACTTACGTAGACTGCGGGCAGTGGTTCTGGGGAGAGGCTGTAAGATTCTCTTTGGGGACAATATCGCTTCATTTATTTGGTCAGTAGCTTGGTTAATCAATCACCAGTACTTCATGTGGCTTAAATATCCTCCACGGTGAGACCTGTGCATCCTTTCTGCCGCAGGGACATCCTGATCACCAGCCTGGACTCCGCCACCACCTTTGACAAGCTCTGTGAGGAGGTGCGGGAGATGTGCCACCTCCACCAGGGCCACCCGCTCACCCTCAAGTGGGTGGATAGTGAAGGTAGCGCCTGGGCGCGTGTCGGTCGGGTTGTGAACCTCTGAATCTGTGCGCAGCCCCTTCTGGGGGGAGACGGACAACTTTGGAATTAAACTGGTTAAATTTAACCAGCTTCCCCACTGGGGTCGTTGGAAGCTGTTTCCTGGGAAGAGGCTGCGACAGGTGCGTGGACAAACTGGGCAGGGGAGTGGGGGGTGAGCTGCCCCTTGCGGGGGGAGCCACCCACCCCCGCAAGGCCAGCTCTGGTCTGGGCACCAGGGAGAGGCTGCAGGGTCTCCTCCACACCTTGCACGGCTCCTTACCCTCCTTACATGACCTTCCTTCCCCGTATCCCGGGTTTTTCTGGTGGGTGATTTGGAAGCTGAGCTCTTCATTTTCTTGGGGAAGTGGGGAGGGTAAGGGTGGCTGGGGCCCCAGGGTCCATCTCTCCTTCCCTCTCCCTCCCTCCTCTCTACCCCCCCCCCGCCCCCCGCTTCCTTCTTTCCTGCTGCTGGACACACTTCGGAGAAAGCTGAGGGTTTGGGAGACCATCCAGGAGCTCCCTGGCAGCTCTCAGCCTGGACAAGGGGCAGGCAGGTCTCTGGCTGTGCCCCTTCCCGCAGGCACCTGGCCACGTGGGGTGCTGGCTGTCTGTGGATCTGTGCCCCTGTCCAGCCGCAGCGGGCAAGGAGCCCTTCCCTCCCCTCTAGGACTGGCTAAACGTGTGCTTACTCTCACCCTGGCCGGGAAACCTAGGACGCCTTAGCTCCCCGCGTGGCCTCTTCTCAGGCTGTGGGTGAACTCATTGCCCTTCTAGGCTTAACTGGTTCTGATGTCGGGCCCTGGCTGGGGTGACCTGCTGGTCAGGCTGGGCAGCTGGTCACAAGCAGTGAGACTACCCTCCCAAACTCGGGTGCCTGCCACCGTGAACCCCTCTGCCTTGGGCCTGCGGTGGCCTCATCCATGTCTCTTGTCCACCAGGTGACCCCTGCACTGTGTCCTCCCAGATGGAGCTGGAGGAGGCCTTCCGCCTGTCCTGTCAGCGCAAGGACGAAGGGCTCATCCTTCACGGTCAGTGCCGGCCAGAGGGCGGTCTGGGGAGGGTGTGTGTGTGTGTGTGTGTGTGTGCGCGCGCACACGTGCGTGTGTGTTGGGGCGGGGTGGGGGCAGGGGCGCTTTGTCAGACCAGTAGCCACGTGGAGGATCGCGGTTTAAGATCTTAGGATGCCCGAGAATGTAAGGATGTGGGATGGGATGCAATGGGGTTTTTTTCTCTTACATTTTATTAACCCAGATAAAATTGCTCTTACTTGTAAGGAGAAGCCCGGGTCCTGGAGCTGGTTAACCCTCACTGCCCTCGTTTCCTGGGGGCGGCATCGCTCACCTGCCCCCACCTTTCCGGGGGCTCCGAGGGCCCGGGGCCCATGTGCCTGCGGGCAGAGCAGGGACAGTGCCGCAGCCCTGCCCCGGGGCGGATGAGACCCTCCCCGTGGCTTTCTGCAGGCTCACAGCCTCCCTCCGCTGGTTAAGCTCAGCGCGGGGTAGAAATTGAGTCGCGGGAAATGTTCTTTGCTATCGTGTCAGTATCGTCTTTAAATCGCAGGTTTTCAGACTGTGCCCCCCAGCACTTTGGGGTTCTGCAGGGTGTCTGCCGAGAGAGCATAGTTCTGGCAGCTGTGGCCGCCCTGCCACTCTGCATCCGCTTTTGGTGCAGCTTATAGTCAGGCGGGGGCCGCGGACGGCTGAGCCCAAGAGCCAGGACCGGCGCACGAAACCATCTATAGTGTTCTTTTTTTAATTTAATTAATTTACTTTTGGCTGCGTTGGGCTTTCTCTAGTTGTGGCGAGCAGGGGCTACTCTTCGTTGCAGTGCTCAGGCTTCTTGTTGCAGTGGCTTCTCTTGCTGCGGAGCATGGGCTCTAGGCGTGCGGGCTTCAGTAGTTGTGGCGCGCGGGCTCAGTAGTTGTGGCGCACGGGCTTAGCTGCTCCGCGGCATGTGGGATCTTCCTGGACCAGGGCTCAAACCCGTGTCCCCTGCATTAGCAGGCGGATTCTTAACCACTGCACCACCAGGGAAGCCCCTGTCCGCGGTTTTCTGTTGGACCATCGTTCTCTCTGATGCTGGACTAGTGGTTGGTTAAAATACCTAGTTTTTGTAGTCCTTTGTATGGACGTGGATTAAACGTCAAACCTACGCTCGTCCACTGCATGGTGGTGGTTAGCACGTCTGTGTTGACTCAACGGTGAAAGGTTTGGTACTTTCAAAATGCACTCTATTTTCTACATTAAGGAAAAGGTCATTTGAGCTAGGTTTTAATACGTTTAACCTTTTCTAGTAACTTATTGTGGAAGCCCAGGGTATATCTTACCACGCTTAATTTTGAACTTCATTTTGAGTGTAAAGAAGTGGACCGAAATGTGCTTTCAGAAGTCAGTTTTCAAGGGAATTTCGGTTCTTTCCCATTTCCATATGGACTTATCTGTACACATCAGGAGTCCTCCTGGGACGGTTCTGCTCTCTAGACCCCTCTGATTGCTTCTTCCCCTGAATTATTCCGTGCAGCTCCGTGTCTCGTCAAAGGGAGTCTGGCACACATCCATGTGCTGGGTTTGCCTTAATGAGCGTCTCCCAGAAGCAGGCTCTCATTGCAGCGGGGGCTCTACGGGCAGCCTGACTCCCAGCAGGACTTCTCACGAGGCCGTAGTGGGCACTGACGCTCTCTCTCTCTGTCTCTCTCTCTCTGTGCAGTTTTCCCCAGCATCCCCGAGGAGCCAGGCATGCCCTGTCCGGGAGAAGACAGTGAGTACCGCCTCTCCCATGACGTGTGTCACAGTGATGGGTTGACGTGTGTGCTCTGCAAGGCGGGGGAGGATGGAGCTTGGTGGCCCGAGGCTTAGCTGCTCCTTGCAAACAGTCTGAAAGCAGAGTGGGCAGCGGGTGTGGCCTCGTGTGGGGTTTTCACTGGTGTCCTCGCCCTTGGCTAGGGGTGCATCCACCATCAGACAGGGCACCGGCTTGGTCAGTGGTGCCATGAGGTAAAGCCCAGGAGAAGCCCTGATGTCCCCCGGCGGGAGGGGGCCTGGCTGGGATGGCTGGACACTGCTCCCGTGTGTCTGTCCCAGCTGCGGCCACCCCCAGACCTGGTCATCGGCACCTCCCAGTCCATACCGGGCCCCCCAGGGAGGCATCCGTTCCTCCTCCACGGCAGGTCTGTTGGTTGAAGATAGAGTCCCAGGGGCCGTGGGTCAGAGGAGAGCTTCTGACCACGCCCCGGAGGCCCCGGACCCTGAACAGCGTGCCCTGCCTCATCTTTCAGGGCAGGGCCCCCACTGGATGGGGCGTAGAGAAACTTTACACCAATTACCAGACCCTCCTCGGGCCCCGGCCTGGTGCTGAGGGGCTCTGGACCCCGGTGGCCGCTTGTTCGGTTAGGGGGACTTGGCTCCGCCTCCTGCCAGCAGGGGTCCCAGGGTGGGCTCCAGATCAGGTCCCTGGGCCCGGCCTCTGGGTGCCAGCAGCGTCCTGTGTGGGGTGGGAGCAGATTTGAGCAGAGGCTGGACTTGGGTGCGTGACTTGCATTTCGGGGAGCAGTCGGGGCTGAAGAGAGATTTGGGAGCCCTTAGCATAGAGGAGGTTGTTGAGGCCACGGAGGGTGTGGCCAGTGATGAGGGTTGGGCCTTGGGGTCTCCCAAAGAGAACAGGGGACCCTGGAGGAGCAGTCAGCAAGGCCATGGAGACATCCCGATCGTGGAGCCCTGGCGGGAGTAGAGCAGGCAGCCTGAAGAGGCAGCAGCAGCCCAGGGGCCGTCAGGAGGTGCTGCCCCAGGGGGCGGACGTGAGGGGCAGGTCTGGGAAGGCTGGGGGGTGGGTGAGCAGTCCCAGTGCGTCCTGGCTGGGAGGCAGATGTCCGCCGGTGGTAGATAAAGCCAGAGGTGGGGGGCGAGCCTGGAGCTTCTGAGGCCTGGAAGCCTCCCTGAGAAGGTGGGCAGGGGGGCGGGGGGGAGTCAGTCCCACGGGTAAGACTTCCTGGCCGCCGCCCGCCCCGTCCAGGACAGCAGGCTCCTGTGCGCATGTGCGGTTTCGCTGCCAGCGGCCCTTGGACCTGCCAGGACGTGGCTCAAGACAGGACACTGCGGGGGTGGAGAGTGCGGCCAGCTGGGAGCAGACCCCATGAGCAGAAGCCCACCCGCAGGAGCCCCAGGTGGCCAGAGAGGAGCTCATCGGTGGGGGGCTCGGAGGCGGGTGGGCCTCCCGGGGGTCCTCATCCCCCGCGGGGCTGCCCCTCCCCATGACCCCCCGCCCCGGGGTACCCACGTCTCATGGAAGGGGCACACTTTTGATAGTTCACGTTGTCTTTTCAGACACATAAAAGGATAAAATAAGGTAGACCTTCCAGCTGGAAGGAGGGTCCCCTCCACTGTGCTCTGTACGAGGGGTCCCCCAGCTCGTTTCTTTGCCCCCTTGATGGCTCTCAACCACAGTGACAGGCTGTCTGTCTGTCTGCCCAGAGCCGTCGCCAGCAGCCCGTGCGGCGCGGGGGTCGCCCAAGCATCCCTGCATCTCGGCCTCTGGCTGCCCGGCCATCAGCTCAGGCCAGGGCCCCAGCAGTGCCGCCCTGAGGGCCTCGGACCTGCCCGTTCTGTCCCCGGCTCGGTGCCCTCCTGGCTTCTTCCCCGCGTGGACGCCGCCCTGTCTGGAGCCTCACGTAGGGGATGGTGATGGGGGTCGGCACAGCCGATGCTGTGCCCTCCTGGGGTCGTGGGAGTCACAGGGTCTCTGCCGGAGAGGGACGTGGGCTGACGTGTGGGCAGGGGCTGCATCACCGCGGGGGAATGCGGAGAATGTGGGGCCATCCCCACTCGCGAGCAGGTCCTTGAGATGCTCACCAGGGGCGGCTCCGAGCTCCGGGCCACTCGCTTTTGTTGGAACATTCCAGCAGCCTCTCCGCGCAGGTGGAGGATGGGGTGGACGGAGGGTGGGGGTGGCGTCCCCTCCCTGGCTCTGCTTGTCCAGCTCGGTCGTGACGCTGACCTTGGGCAGTTAGGACCGCCCTGCGCTGGTCCCCCGATGGCCCGGGTGCAGGCATGATCCTGGCACCTGCGTGGGCGTTGGTGTTCACTGCCAAGGCCGGGCGAGTGAGCAGGGTCAGGTGGTGGGACAAATGGCACCCTTGGCTGGGCCAGGACCGCGTGCAGATGCCTGGTGGGTCTGACGGGCGGTAGCCAGACAGCGACATGCGGCAGAGGTGCAGCCTCAAGGTCCTGCTGGGCATGTCCGGCCGGGCCTGTGTTCGTGGCAGCAAAGCGCCTTCCAGCACCTTCTGTGCAGGTTGTCAGCCTGAATTTAGTCGGTTCTCTAGGGTTTTTAAAAAATGGTGTAAAGTACAGCTAACATAAAATGTGCTATTTTAACGACTGTAAACCGAACAGTTCAGTGGCATTTAGTAGGTTCACCACCTCTGCCGTTTCTGAAACACGTTCAGGAAGAAAACCTCATGCCCACGAGCAGTCACAGCTCCTCCGCTCAGCGCCTGACAGCCACCAAACTGCTCCATCTCTACGGAGTTACCTGGTGTAGACGTTCCATGTAAATGGAATAGATGATACGTGGTCTTTTGTAACTGGCTTCTTAACGTGATGTTTTTGAACTTCATCCATGTTGTAACGTGTATCAGAACTTCAGTCCTTTTTTTTCCCCCAGTTTTTTTTATCACGGTGAAATACACATAATATAAATTATCATCTTAACCATTTTTAAGTGTGTAGTTCACTGATATAACCTGAATTCATTTTGTTATGCAGCCATCACCACCATCATCTCCAGAACTTCCTCATCTTCCCAAACCGACACTCTGCCCCCATGAGACGCTCACTGCCCACCCCTCCCCCAGCCCCGGGCCCCACCCTCCTCCTTTCTGTCTCTGTGAGTGTGACTCCTCCAAGGACCTCACAGAAGCGGGATCACACAGAATTCGTCCTTTTGTGTCTGGTTTATTTCACTCGGCATCGTGTCCTCAGGGTCCATCCACGTTGGAGCAGGTGTCAGAGTTTCCTCCCTTTCTAAGTTTGAATAATACTCCATTGTATGGATGGACTATGTTTTGTTTATCCATCTGATGATGGGGTCGCTTCTGTGTTTTAGCTACTCTGAATAATGCTGCTATGAACATGGGTGTAGAAATATCTCTGAGACCCTACTTTCAGTTCTTTTGGGTATACATGCAGTAATGGAATTGCTGGGTCATATGGTAGTTCTATTTTTAATTTTTTGAGCAACTGCCATACTGTTTTCTACAGTGGCAGCACCATTTTACATTCCCGCCAGCAGTGCACAGTGGTTCTAATTTCCCCATATTTTCACCAATGCTTGTTTTCTGGTTTTTTGATAGTAGCCATCCTGGTGGGTGTGAGGTGACATCTCACTGTGGTTTTGATTTTCGTTTCCCTAATGATTAGTGATGGTTGAGCCTCTTTTCATGTGCTTGTTGGCCACGTGTACGTCTTCTTCGGAGAAATGTCTACTCAAGTTCTTTGCCCATTTTGAATTGGGTTGTTTGTTTTGTTGCTGTTGAGTTTTAGGAATTCTCTACATATTCTGATATTAACCCCATATCAGATATATGATTTGCAAACATTTTCCCCCACTCTGTGAGGTTTTTTTTGTTTGTTTAACTTTGTTTATGGTGTCTTTTGATGCACAAAATTATAAAATTTTCATGAAGTGCAATTCGTCTGTGTATGCTTTTGTTGCCTGTGCCTTGGTGTCATGTCCAAGAAATCATTGCCAAATCCCATGTCGGGAAGCTTTTGTCCTTTGTTTTCTTCTAAGAGTTGTATAGTTTCAGATCTTACGTTTAGAGTCTTTGCTGCATTTTGAGTTAACTTTTGCATATGATGTTAGATGAGGGTCCAACTCTGTTCTTTTGCATGTGAATATCCAGTTTTCCCAACACCATTTGTTGAAAAGACTGTCGTTTCCCCATTGAATGGTCTTGGCACCCTTGCTGGAAATCATTTGACCATATGTGTGAGGGTTTATTTCTGGGCTCTCTATTCTATCCCATTGGTCTATATGTCTGTCTTTATGCCAGCACCACAGTTTTGATTACTGTAGCTTTGCAGTGAGTTTTGAAATCAGGGAGTGTGAGTCCTCCAGCTTTGTTCTTTTTCAAGATTGTTTTGGCTCTTCTGGGTCCCTTGAGATTCCATGAGAATTTTAGGATGTTTTTCTGCCAAAAACATTGGGATTTTGGTAGTGATTGCATTGACTCTTCAGATCACTTTGGGTAGTATTGATATCTTAACGATATTAACTCTCCTAATCCATAGACACTGAGATGTCATTCTGCTTATTTATGTCTTGTTTAATTTCTTTCAGCACTGTTTTATAGTTTTCAGTGTACAAGTCTATCACTTCCTTGTTAGATATATGCTTAAGTATTTTATTCTTGATGCTAATGTAAATGGAACTGTGTTTGTAATTTCCTTTTTGGGTTGCTCACTGTGAGGATATAGAAATGCAACTGATTTTTATGTGTTGACTTGCTATCCTGACATTTTGCTGACTTTGTTCTAACATCGTTTCTGTGGAATCAGTTTTCTATGTCATCTGTGAACAGAGATAATTTATTTATTCCTTTTCAATTTATATGCTTTTTATTTCTTTTTCTTGCCTAATTGCTCTGGTTAGAACCTCTAGTACTCTGTTGGATAGAAATGGTGATAGTGGGCATCCTTGTCTGTTCTTGATCTTGAAAGAAAAGCTTTCAGTCTTTCACCGTTGAGTGTGATGTTTGCCGT